TGGAGACCAGTCAGTGTGTTGCTGGAGACCAGTCAGTGTTGCTGGAGACCAGTCAGTGTTGCTGGAGACCAGTCAGTGTGTTGCTGGAGACCAGTCAGTGTTGCTGGAGACCAGTCAGTGTGTTGCTGGAGACCAGTCAGTGTTGCTGGAGACCAGTCAGTGTTGCTGGAGACCAGTCAGTGTTGCTGGAGACCAGTCAGTGTGTTGCTGGAGACCAGTCAGTGTGTTGCTGGAGACCAGCCAGTGTGTTGCTGGAGACCAGCCAGTGTTGCTGGAGACCAGTCAGTGTGTTGCTGGAGACCAGTCAGTGTGTTGCTGGAGACCAGTCAGTGTTGCTGGAGACCAGCCAGTGTTGCTGGAGACCAGTCAGTGTGTTGCTGGAGACCAGCCAGTGTGTTGCTGGAGACCAGCCAGTGTGTTGCTGGAGACCAGCCAGTGTTGCTGGAGACCAGACAGTGTTGCTGGAGACCAGTCAGTGTGTTGCTGGAGACCAGCCAGTCTGTTGCTGGAGACCAGTCAGTGTGTTGCTGGAGACCAGTCAGTGTGTTGCTGGAGACCAGTCAGTGTGTTGCTGGAGACCAGTCAGTGTGTTGCTGGAGACCAGTCAGTGTTGCTGGAGACCAGCCAGTGTGTTGCTGGAGACCAGTCAGTGTGTTGCTGGAGACCAGTCAGTGTGTTGCTGGAGACCAGTCAGTGTGTTGCTGGAGACCAGTCAGTGTTGCTGGAGACCAGTCAGTGTGTTGCTGGAGACCAGTCAGTGTTGCTGGAGACCAGGCAGTGTGTTGCTGGAGACCAGTCAGTGTGTTGCTGGAGACCAGTCAGTGTGTTGCTGGAGACCAGACCAGTCAGTGTTGCTGGAGACCAGTCAGTGTGTTGCTGGAGACCAGTCAGTGTGTTGCTGGAGACCAGTCAGTGTGTTGCTGGAGACCAGTCAGTGTGTTGCTGGAGACCAGTCAGAGTGTTGCTGGAGACCAGTCAGTGTGTTGCTGGAGACCAGCCAGTATGTTGCTGGAGACCAGTCAGTGTGTTGCTGGAGACCAGTCAGTGTGTTGCTGGAGACCAGCCAGTGTTGCTTGTCAGTGTGTTGCTGGAGACCAGCCAGTGTGTTGCTGGAGACCAGCCAGTGTTGCTGGAGACCAGTCAGTGTTGCTGGAGACCAGCCAGTGTGTTGCTGGAGACCAGCCAGTGTTGCTGGAGACCAGTCAGTGTGTTGCTGGAGACCAGTCAGTGTTGCTGGAGACCAGCCAGTGTTGCTGGAGACCAGTCAGTGTTGCTGGAGACCAGCCAGTGTGTTGCTGGAGACCATCCAGTGTGTTGCTGGAGACCAGCCAGTGTGCTGGAGACCAGTCAGTGTGTTGCTGGAGACCAGTCAGTGTTGCTGGAGACCAGCCAGTGTGTTGCTGGAGACCAACCAGTGTTGCTGGAGACCAGCCAGTGTGTTGCTGGAGACCAGTCAGTGTGTTGCTGGAGACCAGCCAGTGTTGCTGGAGACCAGTCAGTGTTGCTGGAGACCAGTCAGTGTTGCTGGAGACCAGTCAGTGTTGCTGGAGACCAGCCAGTGTTGCTGGAGACCAGTCAGTGTTGCTGGAGACCAGCCAGTGTGTTGCTGGAGACCAGCCAGTGTTGCTGGAGACCAGCCAGTGTTGCTGGAGACCAGCCAGTGTTGCTGGAGACCAGCCAGTGTTGCTGGAGACCAGCCAGTGTTGCTGGAGACCAGTCAGTGTTGCTGGAGACCAGCCAGTGTTGTTGGAGAACAGTCAGTGTGTTGCTGGAGACCAGTCAGTGTTGCTGGAGACCAGTCAGTGTGTTGCTGGAGAGCAGTCAGTGTGTTGTTGGAGACCAGTCAGTGTTGCTGGAGACCAGCCAGTGTGTTGCTGGAGACCAGTCAGTCGCTGGAGACCAGTCAGTGTGCTGCTGGAGACCAGTCAGTGTGTTGCTGGAGACCAGTCAGTGTTGCTGGAGACCAGTCAGTGTTGCTGGAGACCAGTCAGTGTGTTGCTGGAGACCAGTCAGTGTGTTGCTGGAGACCAGTCAGTGTGTTGCTGGAGACCAGTCAGTGTTGCTGGAGACCAGTCAGTGTGTTGCTGGAGACCAGTCAGTGTTGCTGGAGACCAGCCAGTGTGTTGCTGGAGACCAGTCAGTGTTGCTGGAGACCAGTCAGTGTGTTGCTGGAGACCAGCCAGTGTTGCTGGAGACCTGTCAGTGTGTTGCTGGAGACCAGCCAGTGTGTTGCTGGAGACCAGCCAGTGTTGCTGGAGACCAGTCAGTGTTGCTGGAGACCAGCCAGTGTGTTGCTGGAGACCAGCCAGTGTTGCTGGAGACCAGTCAGTGTGTTGCTGGAGACCAGTCAGTGTTGCTGGAGACCAGCCAGTGTTGCTGGAGACCAGTCAGTGTTGCTGGAGACCAGCCAGTGTGTTGCTGGAGACCATCCAGTGTGTTGCTGGAGACCAGCCAGTGTGTATTGCTGGAGACCAGTCAGTGTTGCTGGAGACCAGCCAGTGTGTTGCTGGAGACCAGTCAGTGTGTTGCTGGAGACCAGTCAGTGTTGCTGGAGACCAGTCAGTGTGTTGCTGGAGACCAGTCAGTGTGTTGCTGGAGACCAGTCAGTGTGTTGCTGGAGACCAGTCAGTGTGTTGCTGGAGACCAGTCAGTGTTGCTGGAGACCAGCCAGTGTTGCTGGAGACCAGCCAGTGTGTTGCTGGAGACCAGTCAGTGTTGCTGGAGACCAGTCAGTGTGTTGCTGGAGACCAGCCAGTGTTGCTGGAGACCTGTCAGTGTGTTGCTGGAGACCAGCCAGTGTGTTGCTGGAGACCAGCCAGTGTTGCTGGAGACCAGTCAGTGTTGCTGGAGACCAGCCAGTGTGTTGCTGGAGACCAGCCAGTGTTGCTGGAGACCAGTCAGTGTGTTGCTGGAGACCAGTCAGTGTGTTGCTGGAGACCAGTCAGTGTGTTGCTGGAGACCAGTCAGTGTTGCTGGAGACCAGCCAGTGTGTTGCTGGAGACCATCCAGTGTGTTGCTGGAGACCAGCCAGTGTGTATTGCTGGAGACCAGTCAGTGTTGCTGGAGACCAGCCAGTGTGTTGCTGGAGACCAGCCAGTGTTGCTGGAGACCAGCCAGTGTGTTGCTGGAGACCAGTCAGTGTTGCTGGAGACCAGTCAGTGTTGCTGGAGACCAGTCAGTGTTGCTGGAGACCAGTCAGTGTTGCTGGAGACCAGCCAGTGTGTATTGCTGGAGACCAGTCAGTGTTGCTGGAGACCAGCCAGTGTGTTGCTGGAGACCAGCCAGTGTGTTGCTGGAGACCAGCCAGTGTGTTGCTGGAGACCAGCCAGTGTTGTTGGAGACCAGCCAGTGTTGCTGGAGACCAGCCAGTGTTGTTGGAGACCAGTCAGTGTTGCTGGAGACCAGCCAGTGTGTTGCTGGAGACCAACCAGTGTGTTGCTGGAGACCAGCCAGTGTGTTGCTGGAGACCAGCCAGTGTTTTTGGAGACCAGCCAGTGTTGCTGGAGACCAGCCAGTGTTGTTGGAGACCAGTCAGTGTTGCTGGAGACCAGCCAGTGTGTTGCTGGAGACCAATCAGTGTTGCTGGAGACCAGCCAGTGTGTTGCTGGAGACCAGCCAGTGTTGCTGGAGACCAGCCAGTGTTGCTGGAGACCAGCCAGTGTTGCTGGAGACCAGTCAGTGTTGCTGGAGACCAGTCAGTGTGTTGCTGGAGACCAGTCAGTGTTGCTGGAGACCAGTCAGTGTGTTGCTGGAGATAGACACCTCTATGTGCTCTATGTTGTTCTCTGGAATTCTTATTGTGTCTGGTTCCCTGAAGATTTCATTTTGGACAAACACACTTTGGAACTTTTCGTTTAATGTTTCACACATTTCCTTTTCATTTTCCGTGAATCTGTTTCCCATTTTCAACCTCTGGATATTATCCTTTACCTGCAATTTGTTGTTTACGAATTTATAGAATAGACCTGGTTCTGTTTTACATTTGTTTGCAATCCCTTTTTCAAAATTTCTTTCTGCCTCTCTAATCACTGCCGTGTAGTTGTTTCTCGCATCTTTGTTTCTCGCCCCAGCTGTGCTTGCACCAGCTGTGTTTGCCCCAGCTGTGCTTGCACTAGCTGTGCTTGCCCCAGCTGTGCTTGCACTAGCTGTGCTTGCACCAGCTGTGCTTGCACCAGCTGTGCTTGCACCAGCTGTGCTTGCACCAGCTGTGCTTGCACCAGCTGTGCTTGCACCAGCTGTGCTTGTGGGAAGTGTCAGCACTTAAAGTTTCAATGACAGTGCTAAAGTAACTTGAATTAATGTGTTCCCTCAAGAGCAGTGACAGTCACTCTGGTACTTGATGAGGTAAGATATGTGGCTCTGAGTGAGGCTTACACGCTTCCTCAGCAGTGAAACTGGTGGAGTTTACACTTGCGGTCCCTACATCCAGTGTTGTGTTTACACTTGCGGTCCCTACATCCTGTGTTGTGTTTACACTTGCGGTCCCTGCATCCAGTGTTGTGTTTACACTTGCGGTCCCTACATCCAGTGTTGTGTTTACACTTGCGGTCCCTGCATCCAGTGTTGTGTTTACACTTGCGGTCCCTACATCCAGTGTTGTGTTTACACTTGCGGTCCCTACATTCAGTGTTGTGTTTACACTTGCGGTCCCTGCATCCAGTGTTGTGTTTACACTTGTGGTCCCTGCATCCAGTGTTGTGTTTACACTTGCGGTCCCTGCATCCAGTGTTGTGTTTACACTTGTGGTCCCTACATCCAGTGTTGTGTTTACACTTGCGGTCCCTGCATCCAGTGTTGTATTTACATTTGTGGTCCCTGCATCCAGTGTTGTGTTTACACTTGCGGTCCCTGCATCCACTGTTGTGTTTACACTTGTGGTCCCTGCATCCAGTGTTGGGTTTTCACTTGCGGTCCCTGCATCCACTGTTGTGTTTACACTTGTGGTCCCTGCATCCACTGTTGTGTTTACACTTGTGGTCCCTGCATCCAGTGTTGGGTTTTCACTTGCGGTCCCTGCATCCAGTGTTGTGTTTACACTTGTGGTCCCTGCATCCAGTGTTGGGTTTACACTTGCGGTCCCTGCATCCAGTATTGTGTTTACACTTGCGGTCCCTGCATCCAGTGTTGGGTTTACACTTGCGGTCCCTGCATCCAGTGTTGTGTTTACACTTGCGGTCCCTGCATCCAGTGTTGGGTTTACACTTGCGGTCCCTGCATCCAGTGTTGGGTTTACACTTGCGGTCCCTGCATCCAGTGTTGTGTTTACACTTGTGGTCCCTACATCCAGTGTTGTGTTTACACTTGCGGTCCCTGCATCCAGTGTTGTGTTTACACTTGCGGTCCCTACATCCAGTGTTGGGTTTTCACTTGCGGTCCCTGCATCCAGTGTTGTGTTTACACCTGTGGTCCCTGCATCCAGTGTTGGGTTTACACTTGCGGTCCCTGCATCCACTGTTGTGTTTACACTTGCGGTCCCTGCATCCAGTGTTGTGTTTACACTTGCGGTCCCTGCATCCAGTGTTGTGTTTACACTTGCGGTCCCTGCATCCAGTGTTGGGTTTACACTTGCGGTCCCTGCATCCAGTGTTGTGTTTACACTTGCGGTCCCTGCATCCAGTGTTGGGTTTACACTTGCGGTCCCTGCATCCACTGTTGTGTTTACACTTGCGGTCCCTGCATCCACTGTTGTGTTTACACTTGTGGTCCCTGCATCCAGTGTTGTGTTTACACTTGCGGTTCCTGCATCCAGTGTTGTGTTTACACTTGCGATCCCTGCATCCAGTGTTGTGTTTACACTTGCGGTCCCTGCATCCAGTGTTGTGTTTACACTTGCGGTCCCTGCATCCAGTGTTGTGTTTACACTTGCGGTCCCTGCATCCAGTGTTGGGTTTACACTTGCGGTCCCTGTATCCAGTGTTGTGTTTACACTTGTGGTCCCTGCATCCACTGTTGTGTTTACACTTGTGGTCCCTGCATCCAGTGTTGTGTTTACACTTGCGGTCCCTGCATCCAGTGTTGGGTTTTCACTTGCGGTCCCTGCATCCAGTGTTGTGTTTACACTTGTGGTACCTGCATCCAGTGTTGGGTTTACACTTGCGGTCCCTGCATCCAGTGTTGGGTTTACACTTGCGGTCCCTGCATCCAGTGTTGGGTTTACACTTGCGGTACACTTGCGGTCCCTGCATCCAGTGTTGGGTTTACACTTGCGGTCCCTGCATCCAGTGTTGGGTTTACACTTGCGGTCCCTGCATCCAGTGTTGTGTTTACACTTGCGGTCCCTGCATCCAGTGTTGGGTTTACACTTGCGGTCCCTGCATCCAGTGTTGGGTTTACACTTGCGGTCCCTGCATCCAGTGTTGGGTTTACACTTGCGGTCCCTGCATCCAGTGTTGGGTTTACACTTGCGGTCCCTGCATCCAGTGTTGTGTTTACACTTGCGGTCCCTGCATCCAGTGTTGGGTTTACACTTGTTTACACTTGCGGTCCCTGCATCCAGTGTTGGGTTTACACTTGCGGTCCCTGCATCCAGTGTTGGGTTTACACTTGCGGTCCCTGCATCCAGTGTTGGGTTTACACTTGCGGTCCCTGCATCCAGTGTTGGGTTTACACTTGCGGTCCCTCTTTAGTGTTGTGTTTACACTAGCCAGGCGGTGCGCCTTCAGCAGTGTTGCCACATTTCTCGCCATATATTTCCATGCATTTTCTTTTCATGAAATGTTGTGGTATTTTAGAACTGTGTTGAAGTTAAACATTATCTGCTTTATTGTTGCTTACCTTATTGAGAGGTAATCACTGTGGGGAGTGAACTGGTGCGCGGGAGAGGCTAATAATGTTATATGTTGAGGGCGTGGCTTTGTTAAGTGTTCTGAAGTATCTGGTGGCTTTGTTAAGTGCTCTGAAGTGTCTGGTGGCTTCAGTAAGTGTTCTGAAGTATCTGGTGGCTTTGTTAAGTGTTCTGAAGTATCTGGTGGCTTTGTTAAGTGTTCTGAAGTATCTGGTGGCTTTGTTAAGTGTTCTGAAGTATCTGGTGGCTTTGTTAAGTGTTCTGAAGTATCTGGTGGCTTTGTTAAGTGCTCTGAAGTGTCTGGTGGCTTTGTTAAGTGCTCTGAAGTGTCTGGTGGCTTTGTTAAGTGCTCTGAAGTATCTGGTGGCTTTGTTAAGTGTTCTGAAGTATCTGGTGGCTTTGTTAAGTGCTCTGAAGTGTCTGGTGGCTTTGTTAAGTGTTCTGAAGTGTCTGGTGGCTTTGTTAAGTGTTCTGAAGTATCTGGTGGCTTTGTTAAGTGCTCTGAAGTGTCTGGTGGCTTTGTTAAGTGCTCTGAAGTGTCTGGTGGCTTTGTTAAGTGTTCTGAAGTATCTGGTGGCTTTGTTAAGTGTTCTGAAGTATCTGGTGGCTTTGTTAAGTGCTCTGAAGTGTCTGGTGGCTTTGTTAAGTGCTCTGAAGTGTCTGGTGGCTTTGTTAAGTGTTCTGAAGTATCTGGTGGCTTTGTTAAGTGCTCTGAAGTGTCTGGTGGCTTTGTTAAGTGCTCTGAAGTGTCTGGTGGCTTTGTTAAGTGCTCTGAAGTATCTGGTGGCTTTGTTAAGTGCTCGGAAGTGTCTGGTGGCTTTGTTAAGTGTTCTGAAGTATCTGGTGGCTTTGTTAAGTGTTCTGAAGCGTCTGGTGGCTTTGTTAAGTGCTCTGAAGTGTCTGGTGGCTTTGTTAAGTGCTCTGAAGTGTCTGGTGGCTTTGTTAAGTGTTCTGAAGTATCTGGTGGCTTTGTTAAGTGTTCTGAAGTATCTGGTGGCTTTGTTAAGTGTTCTGAAGTATCTGGTGGCTTTGTTAAGTGTTCTGAAGTATCTGGTGGCTTTGTTAAGTGTTCTGAAGTATCTGGTGGCTTTGTTAAGTGTTCTGAAGTATCTGGTGGCTTTGTTAAGTGTTCTGAAGTATCTGGTGGCTTTGTTAAGTGTTCTGAAGTATCTGGTGGCTTTGTTAAGTGTTCTGAAGTATCTGGTGGCTTTGTTAAGTGCTCTGAAGTGTCTGGTGGCTTTGTTAAGTGCTCTGAAGTGTCTGGTGGCTTTGTTAAGTGCTCTGAAGTATCTGGTGGCTTTGTTAAGTGTTCTGAAGTATCTGGTGGCTTTGTTAAGTGCTCTGAAGTGTCTGGTGGCTTTGTTAAGTGCTCTGAAGTGTCTGGTGGCTTTGTTAAGTGTTCTGAAGTATCTGGTGGCTTTGTTAAGTGCTCTGAAGTGTCTGGTGGCTTTGTTAAGTGCTCTGAAGTGTCTGGTGGCTTTGTTAAGTGCTCTGAAGTATCTGGTGGCTTTGTTAAGTGCTCGGAAGTGTCTGGTGGCTTTGTTAAGTGTTCTGAAGTATCTGGTGGCTTTGTTAAGTGTTCTGAAGCGTCTGGTGGCTTTGTTAAGTGCTCTGAAGTGTCTGGTGGCTTTGTTAAGTGCTCTGAAGTGTCTGGTGGCTTTGTTAAGTGTTCTGAAGTATCTGGTGGCTTTGTTAAGTGTTCTGAAGTATCTGGTGGCTTTGTTAAGTGTTCTGAAGTATCTGGTGGCTTTGTTAAGTGTTCTGAAGTATCTGGTGGCTTTGTTAAGTGTTCTGAAGTATCTGGTGGCTTTGTTAAGTGTTCTGAAGTATCTGGTGGCTTTGTTAAGTGTTCTGAAGTATCTGGTGGCTTTGTTAAGTGTTCTGAAGTATCTGGTGGCTTTGTTAAGTGTTCTGAAGTATCTGGTGGCTTTGTTAAGTGTTCTGAAGTATCTGGTGGCTTTGTTAAGTGTTCTGAAGTATCTGGTGGCTTTGTTAAGTGTTCTGAAGTATCTGGTGGCTTTGTTAAGTGTTCTGAAGTATCTGGTCGCGTGTCAAAGCACAGGACAAAATGGCCACAATCAAGAGTGTGCAGCTGTTTCCCCCGGAGACACTACTGTGACTCTACGATGTGTAGGTGTAGTGAGGAGCTCCCTCCAACTCCTCCTGCACCTCCTCAGGTAACTGGTGGAGTAAAAGCACCACACACAGTTCACAGTAAGTATTAGATCGTGGGCAGTGAGCGTGGGAGTCACAGTACCTCACCGCAGACAGTGGAGGCTCCTGATTCTCGATCCAGTGTGGGTGTTGGTAGCCTGGAGTGTTGTGTCGTGAGGAGGTCTGGGACCATGACACGTGTGTGTATGGTCTGGGAACATGACACAGGTGTGTGTATGGTCTGGGACCATGACATAAGTGTGTGTATGGTCTGGGACCATGACACGTGTGTGTATGGTCTGGGACCATGACACAGGTGTGTGTATGGTCTGGGACCATGACACAAGTGTGTGTATGGTCTGGGACCATGACACAAGTGTGTGTATGGTCTGGGACCATGACACAAGTGTGTGTATGGTCTGGGAACATGACACAAGTGTGTGTATGGTCTGGGAACATGACACAAGTGTGTGTATGGTCTGGGAACATGACACAAGAGTGTGTATGGTCTGGGAACATGACACAAGTGTGTGTATGGTCTGGGAACATGACACAAGTGTGTGTATGGTCTGGGAACATGACACAAGTGTGTGTATGGTCTGGGAACATGACACAGGTGTGTGTATGGTCTGGGAACATGACACAGGTGTGTGTATGGTCTGGGAACATGACACAGGTGTGTGTATGGTCTGGGAACATGACACGAGTGTGTGTATGGTCTGGGAACATGACACAAGTGTGTGTATGGTCTGGGAACATGACACAGGTGTGTGTATGGTCTGGGAACATGACACTGGTCTGGGAACATGACACGAGTGTGTGTATGGTCTGGGAACATGACACAAGTGTGTGTATGGTCTGGGAACATGACACAAGTGTGTGTATGGTCTGGGAACATGACACAAGTGTGTGTATGGTCTGGGAACATGACACAGGTGTGTGTATGGTCTGGGAACATGACACAAGTGTGTGTATGGTCTGGGAACATGACACAAGTGTGTGTATGGTCTGGGAACATGACACAAGTGTGTGTATGGTCTGGGAACATGACACCAGCTCACAAGCCTGTCATAAGAATACTTAATGATGCCAAGAAACGTTACTGACAGGGCGGACATCGTCACAAGAATTTTGTGGCATAAAATCTAGTGAATGTTTAACACACTGAAGGAAGAGTCTGAGGCCGGTACTTAACACAGAGAAGATGGCCTTCTTGGAAGGACGCCAATAACACTTTACAGGACGTTAATCTCCACCATAAGAGGAGAACTTAGCAGATAAAGCCTAGAGAACTGGTAGATTAGCAACGAACTCAAGAGGACTGAAGACAAGGGAAGAAAGCTTGTAGAACGTAAGATAAACAACGCCATCATGAAGAACAGAAGTTTAACAAAGACAGTCTGGGGGAACAAAATAATAACACGGAACACGAGGATAACTGATCACTGGTAAAACCGAGGCGGAAGAAAGGTTGATGGAGAGATCTCGTGTAGAGAAGACATTGCCAGAGTGTTGGGGATGTGTTCCTGGAGGTTTGGTGTCCAGGTTTTAGCTTCAGCTACTCGGAACAAGAGGTTGCAAGTAGCACGGGCTATGGCGAGCCCGTAGTGGACTTCAGTGGAGTGCTAAAGTCCTCAGCCCTCCACTAGCTCTCTGGCTAGTACACTCCCACAGTGTAGTCCTCAGCCCTCTGGCTAGTACACTCCCACAGTGAAGTCCTCAGCCCTCTGGCTAGTACACTCCCACAGTGTAGTCCTCAGCCCTCCACTAGCCCTCTGGCTAGTACACTCCCACAGTGTAGTCCTCAGCCCTCCACTAGCCCTCTGGCTAGTACACTCCCACAGTGTAGTCCTCAGCCCTCTCAGCACTCCACAGTGTAGTCCTCAGCCCTCTGGCTAGTACACTCCCACAGTGTAGTCCTCAGCCCTCCACTAGCCCTCTGGCTAGTACACTCCCACAGTGTAGTCCTCAGCCCTCTGGCTAGTACACTCCCACAGTGTAGTCCTCAGCCCTCTGGCTAGTACACTCCCACAGTGTAGTCCTCAGCCCTCTGGCTAGTACACTCCCACAGTGTAGTCCTCAGCCCTCTGGCTAGTACACTCCCACAGTGTAGTCCTCAGCCCTCTGGCTAGTACACTCCCACAGTGTAGTCCTCAGCCCTCCACTAGCCCTCTGGCTAGTACACTCCCACAGTGTAGTCCTCAGCCCTCCACTAGCCCTCTGGCTAGTACACTCCCACAGTGGCTAGTACACTAGTCCTCAGCCCTCTGGCTAGTACACTCCCACAGTGAAGTCCTCAGCCCTCACTCCCACTAGTCCTCTGGCTAGTACACTCCCACAGTGTAGTCCTCAGCCCTCTGGCTAGTACACTCCCACAGTGTAGTCCTCAGCCCTCTGGCTAGTACACTCCCACAGTGTAGTCCTCAGCCCTCTGGCTAGTACACTCCCACAGTGAAGTCCTCAGCCCTCTGGCTAGTACACTCCCACAGTGTAGTCCTCAGCCCTCTGGCTAGTACACTCCCACAGTGTAGTCCTCAGCCCTCTGGCTAGTACACTCCCACAGTGTAGTCCTCAGCCCTCTGGCTAGTACACTCCCACAGTGAAGTTCTCAGCCCTCTGGCTAGTACACTCCCACAGTGTAGTCCTCAGCCCTCTGGCTAGTACACTCCCACAGTGTAGTCCTCAGCCCTCCACTAGCCCTCTGGCTACTACACTCCCACAGTGTAGTCCTCAGCCCTCCACTAGCCC